CCCCCCCAGGCGGGGTGTATGTGGGAGGCAACCAATCCATGTGTCTCTGCCAGATCGATGCTTCTCTCTCTCCTCTCTCCCACCGCCTTCCATTCGCTCTAAAAATCAATGGAAAAATTATCCTCACTCCTCAGGTGAGAATTAAAAAAGTTTTAAAAACCAGACATTTGGGATATCCTATAATTGGTTAAGACAATTCAACAAATAAGGTACTTTAATTAAAAATTAGATTCAATCATTTAAGTAATATGACAATTAGGAAAGATTAGAAATCTAACAAATTCAAAGTTGTAAAGAAATCTCGAAGGGAGGTAGTTAATAAATTCAGCTTCCCTGAGGTCAGACTTTGTCCTTGGGGATTATCCTGTAAAACCTTGTGATCATGCTGTAAAACCACCACCCTCTCCACATTAGAAGTTTACAACCTAAGTCTGAGCTGAAACCCAAGCATCATCAGGAACTATTAAAGTTTTAACCAACATTATACTTTCTCTGGATATAAAGCTGGGAATGTTTGCACTAGGTTTCCTCATAAATAATAAGTAAAAATAGGAATTCACTTAGAATATAAACATAAGCCAAGTTGTGCAGCCCAATTAAAATAAAAGTTATGTATTTAAATAGCTTTAATAACACCACTAACGCTTTTAAAATCTCTTCCCAGGTAATTTAGGAAACAGGATTAAAACTGTTAACAGGTCCCTCCTGTCCCCAAGCAGCCCAGGAACTCACCATCTTTAAAATCGCGCCGTACAGCCGCAGGAGCACTTTCCGAGGCTCGTCACCAACGGTGGCCACAGTGTCGGGTAAGGAGCACTGGAACAGCATGTTACTGAGGCCACCTCTATGGGAAATGAGAGGATGGTAAGTATCTGCATTTGAAGGCGAGCAAAGTCCCTTCTTGGATAACTATGGATGGATGGGTGAGAAGTCAGGATCCATGAGCACTGCTCTCACTAAGTCTTCATTCATTCTCTCAGGATACTTGCAACGGAAATGATTAACTCCACAGTTTTCAGATCAGAATTGATCACGAGTCATCTTAAAAACAGTCAAATCCTCAATCTGTCCTTCTAGATTAGTGCTGGGGGAGAGGTTTGTTTTTTTCATCACATGTGTGCCCTACACGAGACTGGTCTCTAGAGAACGACAAGGAGTACCCTCTCTAGCACTGGGAATGGGGAAATCCCAGAGGCAGGCTTTCAACCCCACATTCCTCTATGATTTCATACTTCCATTATACCAGATTCCTGTAATTAACAAGATTAAAACCTTGGGGCAGTACTTAAACCACCTCCTTGAGAACTTCCCACTTGAAGTACAGTGCCAAGATCTACCCTCTTCCATGCCTGTGTCAGTAAAAATTTCTCAACTGATTTTGACTAACAATAACAAGCCTTTTCAAAAACCCTGCAACATTAACTAGTTCTTGGAGCATTCAGAAGAAATGGGAGAGATCTAAGTACCCTAAACCTTCCACTTTGGCTACTAAAGACAAGAAATAAGTTACAGGGGGTCATTCAAACAGAAAGGAATAGCCCGGCCAGGCGTGGCTAAGGGGTTGAGCATTGACCTAGGATCCAGGAGATCGTGGTTCGATTCCTGGTCAGGGGTGTGCAGGAGGCAGCCGATCAATGACGACTCTCTCATCACTGATGTTTCTCTCTCTCTCCCTCTCCCTTCCTCTGTGAAATCAATAAAGATATATTTAAAAGCAAAACAAAACAGAAAGGAATAGCCTTGGGGACAAACCACCTGCCTGGGTTGAAAATGACTGGGTATAGAGGAGGTTAGCTAAAATGCAGGGGTTGGAATTAAATGGCAGAATACAAAATACCGTACAATCAGGAATTAGACAAGAGGCACCTCACCTGTAGAAACTTCAGAGTTGCTAAAGAATTTACTATCTCATCAACACATCTTGAGGAATTACTACACAAGCACAGCACTCTGCTGGAAGCTAGGGTAATACAAAACTGAAATAGGGCCTGGTCCCTGCTCTCAAGAAATGTCCACTCTGATGAAGAAAACAGACATAAGATTATAAGACAGAGTTCAAAATCAGGAGGCAGTGTCTGCAACTATATGCTTCATCCAGAGTCTATACCTGCCCGTCAGATGCATCGATATTAGATGGCAGCATATGCCCAACTTTTGGACAAAAAGTTACCAGCAAATCAAACCACAGCTTTCTAGAATGACATCCCTAGATGGTGGTCACAGGAGCCACCAGCCTCTTTCCTTGTTCCATCCATGAACAACAGTTTAGCCTAGTCAAGATATGCTGCCAAAATGAAGCCAAATACATCACCATGTGCCCAATCATGCAGGGACTGTGAGCATACAATGACAAGCACTGTCAAGAAATACAAAGCAAGAGAAACAGTTCAACTTGTGTGGGGAGGAAAGATAACGGGAATTTTTTTATCTGGAGACTGATAATGTTGCTCTATCAATGTCAGCCTAACAACTCGAAGAGTCCTACTACACTCCCTTTCCCAGGTAGAAGCAAGGTTTTACTCAGGCGGTGCAGTGCCCCGTGCATCGAGACTATACTTCGCAGCTGCCTTTGCAGCTAGGAGGGCCCACGCAACCAAGTGTTGGCAAATAAAACGCAAAAGGCTATTATCAGTGTGACTTCTGGGAAATCAGCTTAAGACACACTCTCACTTTGCCCCCCCCCACACACACTCCCTGAGGTCTGGAACAAGGAGCTGATGGTGTGTCAATTGTTGAGCTATTGTCCCTGAGCTCCAAACCCACGTGTTTTCTGCTGTGATGCTGGAATGGGACTCTACCGGTTCCAGCTCTCCTCGATCAGTTGTCCCCCACTGGGTGGGGCAGAATACCGGAGGGGGCTAGAAGCCGGGGGGAGGGAGGAGGTGTGTTGCTTCCTGCTCCTGTTCACGCTGCAGTATCAAGCCCTCAGTCAAGCCATAGCAGCTGCTCCAGTGTCCACTTCTTTCAGCAATCCCAGAACCAGCCCCAGGGTACCCTCTCAGAGGTACCCTCTCAGAGGTCCAGACTCTGGCTCCACAGGGACACTCCTCAAGTTGAGATGCCAGCAATAGCCAAGCAGTGCCCTCTACTCGGAGGCTGGATCCTAATTCTGTAGGGCCCCTCCTTGGAACGTCCAGGTTCTGATCTCTGACCTATTCCCTTTGCTCCCCAAAACCCAGGAGTGGGGCTGCTTCCTGCAGATAACTATTTTAATCACTTCTGCCTTTTTAGTTTCCCCAATACCTGCCCACCCAATTCCCTATATTAAATTGTCTATGTTGGAAGTACCTCTAATGCATTACTTATTTCTTTTTGCCAGGGTCCTGACTGGCATATATGGCCAGAACTTTAGCAACCTCTTAAGATTATGAGAATAAGGGCCACATCCTAGGAATGACAGGGCAGTTAGCTGAAAGGAGCCTGTGTCCCCATCTAGCCCGTGGAGCTTCCACACTGGCCCGGCCTGGCGACTTCTGGACCTGGAACACATTTCTATGCTGTTTAAGCCACTGTTACTCTGGAGTTTTCTGCTATAAGCAGCTCAACCTAGTACTAACTGATACAGCTTATCATCACATCCACTAACTTGTGTTCTTCCAATCTGGAAACTTCCTCCTTCTCCGCTATCTAAAAACTACCTACTGTTTAAGGCTCAGTTCAAAGTCCAACCTCCATAAGAAGCTTCACCATATTCCCTGCTAGCTCCTTGAAGGCAGGGGTAATGTCTAAACTTCAATTCTCAAGGCCCAATGGCCCCCAAACCACAATCATGGATGCTGAATAAAGATGTTCCAAAAATGATAATAAACAGCAGCACTCCTGTCCCACTAAGTCTCCAAACATCTCCATTATGTTTGATAACTGTCTTATATTGCTAATCGGTTTAGAAGATTAGTCTTGGCTCCCCAATTAGACTATAAGCTCCCTAAGGGACAGTCCCACCTTCCTGGGGAAGACACTATGCTAAGAGAAAGACCATAGGCTTCAAAGCCAGGGAGCCTGGGATTCAAATCCCACTCTGCCACTTATTAACTGTGCAATCTTGGGCACATCACTAAACCTCTCTGACCCTTAAATTCACTCCTCGGAAAAAGACTAGGACTTTGTTAGTCACTGTAAGGGGTCAGAGTCATGAAGCCCCTGGGCTGTAGTGTTGTAAGTATTTGACAAGGATTAACTCATTTCATCCTTCCAACAACCCTACAGGTGGATGCTGGTATTGCCTGCATTCTGTAGACAAGGAAACTGAGGCACATAGCAAGCAACTGGCTAAGCCAGGATTCAAATGCAAGTGTATGGCTCCAGGGCCCTTGCTTTTAATTCTGATGCCACAAGACACGAGACAAAGCAGGAGAGCACCACGTGCCACGCTAAGCACAGTAGTAGGTACTGTGGCACCAAGAGCCTTACACCAAGCCTAGTCTATACAAACCTGCACAAAACAAATGTCTTCACTTCTTATGGCTGCTGCAACACATGACCAAAAACTTACAGCTTAAAATAGCAAATTTATTATCTTTTAGTTCTGGAGTTCAAATGCCTGAAAAAAGGTTTTATGGGGCTAAAATCAAGGTGTCGTCAGCAGAGCTGCACATCCAAAGTATATACCACATTCCAGGAAACACAACAAAACAACTAAAAACAGATTCTGACTGAGCTAAATGAATTTCAAAGGATAGGGGTTGTGAAGGGAAATTCGGAGTTAGTGTTTAATGGGCTCAGAGGTTCAGTCTGGGAAGACAGAAACATTCTTGAGATGGATGGTGGCACAACAGTGTGAGTGTACTTAATGCCACTGAACTATACACTTAAAAATGGTAAACTTTAGCCTGGCTGGGCGTGGCTCAGCGGTTGAGCCTCAACCTAGGATCCAGGCAATCGGGGTTCGATTCCCGGTCAGGGCACATGCCCGGGTTGCGGGCTGCAGGTGATCAATGACTCTCATCATTGATGTTTCTATCTCTCTATCCCTCTCCTTTCCTCTCTCTGAAATCAATAAAGATATATTTTTTTTAAAAAAAAGGACTAAAAATAATAATAAAAAAAAATGGTAATCTTTATTATGTGTATAATTTACAATTAAAAAAAAGGAATGCAGCACTGATACATGCTATAACATGATAATCCTTAAAAACATTATGCTAAGTGAAAGCAGCTAGACACAAAAAACCACGTGCATTCCACTCATAAGAAATGTCCAGAACAAGGAAGTCAATAAAGATAGAAGTTAGATTAGTGAGTCCCTAGGGCTAGGGAGAGGTAGGAGGCTAAAGGGGACAGGGTTTCTCTTTGAGATGGTAAAAATGTTCTAAAATTGATTGTGGTGATGGTTGCATGTATCTGTGGGTATTCTAAAAACCACTAAATCATACACTTTAAATGGGTGAATTGTGATATGTGAACTATATCTTAATACAGCTGTTTTTTAAAAATAAGAAAATTGACTTTTTTCCTATGTAATGATATTTCTGAAGCAATTAAAAAACCTGAATGTGCTTCCATGGAAACAATGTGTCCCAGATGCAAATAAAAGCTGAATTTAAGATTTGTTTTCAGTAGCTCAAAGAAAAAGCAATCAGTAGTACCTGGGAGCCTCAGCTAGAGTAAGGACCTATTTTCCCTGAGGGCAAGTTAGTTATCCACCCCAGTTAAGGAGGAACAGAAAGATAAGGGAAGCCAAGGTTCTAGTCTCCCCACCCCACAAACCCCAAGCAAGTAGCAAAGCAGATGGGAGGTGTGGAGACAGAGGATACAAAGACCCTTAACCTTTCTTTTCAATTTGTGGCAGAGCCTCATGTGCGTAGCTTATGAGAATTGCCCTGCCACGTCCAGTCACAGCCAACAAGGGCTTCTGGCTCCCAAGCAACAGGACAAGCGTTAGTTAAAAGCCCTAGTTCTCCTTCCTGTCA